TAAACACACATATTGTGTATGCGGAAGAATAAAAAAATTTCAGCAAAGCAGACTACGGGGTATATTTATTAATTAATCATCTATTAATGCTTTAAAAACGTTACAATTACTCAAGTATTTTTTTTAAATTTTATCTCTCTAAAGATAAATAAAAACGCAAAGATAATGAATAATAAAGAATAAAAAAAAATAATTAAAAGAAAAAGTCCAGTGCCGATTTGAATTTTTAAAAGTTGAATTGGACGCGGCAACGGTTGCATCATTCTCTTGCATTTGCATTATCATCGTGCTGAAAGCAGAAACTGGACTTATCCTCCATAGTACACGTACAGGCCGAAAAGAAGCGAATATTTAATCGGCATGCATTTAAATGGCCCGATTCGCAACATTAACATAACGGTAAGCAATTCCGGATGTCAAAGCTTGACTGCGTTCTGCGTTCAAGGGTATACGCATCTTGCAGAAATCCCACGGTGAGAGAAGTTAGATTGTTCGGCCTTGAAATCAGCGATTTCGAATATAGGAGGATAGCTCTGATGTTTTCTAAATGACATGCAGGATGCACATGGAACTCCGTGAGAAATTACAAACGATCTGGCTGGATCAAAGGCTTTTCGACAATTGGAGATATGCAAAGTAGGATATGCTGCAACCGTTTACCGTTGTACATATCGGTTATAGGTTGTGAAAGATCCGATGCGAAACCTTATGCAAATAATATAAAGAAGCATCGGGAAAGAAAAAGATAATTGTGTAAAGAGTGGAAATTTGTAGTATGCCTTATTACTTCGTTATTCGTTACACATTTCTAAAAATTTTTTGTAAGTTCTTGATTAGGTAATTTCGATTATTAGAACAAAATATAAAATTTAGAACAAAATACAAAAGAATTTCTCAACAAATCAATGTTAAAATACTTTTTCACTAAATATTCTCACAGCAGCAATTTATAAACAAATGATTTGCTCGGTATAGATATAATTATTTTATTTATATATTTATCAATTTATATTATAAAAGTATATAAATATAAATATGTAATACTTACATATTTAGTACTGTATAAACATGTATACTCGTAATTAAACTCGTTTATAATTTATTTATAAATTCAAATGACATACTGTTGCACTTTATAAATGACGACGCAATTAACATTTCCATTTCATCGACAAAATTTGTTATACATTCAACGCGTGATGTTAGTTACCATAACCCGGTAATTAAATGAATATAGCTACAACCGCGAGTAGCTATTCATAGAATTCAGTTGATTTAACAATTACGACATCGCGGTAAATCGTGCTTTGTAAAAGTTATTGCAAAGGTATGTCTGTAAGAAATAATTTAGCATTGTTCCATTGTGGAAATAGTTATATTTTAAATAATTTAGTTTAAATTTGCATAAATACTATATTTAAGTTTACATAAAAACAAATATATATAGTGGTATGTTTAAATTAATGAGATTTCTGTATTAAATTTAAATCAGAAACAATCTAAGACTGTCTGCTCTAAAGTCTGCATCATAATAATAGATGAATTTACGCGTGCCTACAGTGTTATTTGTTAGTTGAGTATAAATCTATATTTATTTCCTGTCAACATCAATATCGCGCGAATTATTTACGAGCAATCTGGGACAATTGAGAGATCATAAAATAAGAATGACTGAAAATATTTCCGATCAATGACCGCCTCTTATAAACAGCGCTGCTAAAAATATCCAACAGCCGTCATTAATGATATACATCTAATAAAACAGTTTTAATCTATTGCAAATCTTCCAAATAACGGGAATCCGTCGGAAATTTATCGAGAACGGTTTATCGAAAGTCGCGTGTACATATCGAATATCGTGTGAGAATTAATTGAAAAAGCATCATGTCGATTTTAATTAATTTAAAAAACGTCTCGTTTCGTCAAATGGCTCGACACACGCGACACATACTAATAATAGCATACGATCGAGATTCATTGACGAATGGCGTGGCCGGAGCGGAATTAACGTTTCGATGCTCGGAACTAAACGGCTGAAGGGTTGTAAGCTGGTATGCAGATGAGCCAACATGGTCGACCCCGGAGGCGGATGTTAGCAGTCTGCAGTTACGTAGACAATAGGCCGGTGCCATTATGTCCGTCGAATCCTAAAACCCCATAGAGTCGTTCTTCTCTGTCTATTATCCCGCTGGTGGCAGGCTACATTGTGTATCCGGCCTGCCGCGGGACTACGGCCATTGTCGGTCCACCTAATTATTCGCAAATCTTCCGCTCGTTGGCGGTAGCCTCCCATCCTCTGATTCGCGAAATTCCATCGCTTCTAAAGCCAGCTTGGTCGCGATTTACCCGACCCCTCTCGCCCCCTCATTTGCCCACCTAATCAGATCGGCTTCCGCGAAATCAGATATTTAATGACTGATAATATTCTTGTGCTCTCTCTTCACCTCTTTCTCCCCTAATCTTGTTTAATAATATTGTATTATTCTTAGTTGTTTGTAATACGCAAAAAAATAAGGCTGTATGTAGGGGACTTGAGACAGTAAGTCTCCAGCGAGTCAACACATTGTAAGAGATACGATGCTTAATTATTTCAGATGTAGATGTAGTATAATGTTTTTGTATTAAATGAACTGATACAATACGTTCATCGTTTCTCTAAAATTTTAGAAACTATGTAGCAGCTAATTATACCCTTCTACGATTTTCTTAAATTACTCCAGTCTTTTATTCCACGAAGAACTTTCATTGTTAGAAAGCGCAAGATAATATTTTCTATTTGATTAATTTTATTATATTTATAAAAATAATAATTATTACGATATTATTGTTTGATTGTACGTAAATAAATCGAAAGTTCATTTTTTCGCCGTTGATGCAAATAAAACTTCGGGAGAGAGTGTATATGTTAAAGTCCTATAAATGAGCAGTTGCGATCTTGATTCGCACTACACCATCTTATCACTTCATTATTTTAGAAATATATGTATATAAAGCTTACTTAATGAAAAAATTAAATCGCCTCCTTTTTTGCATAGATTTAAATCAAACTTACCTCTGGATCATTTGATTCCGCCCTCTTATACGTAAACAAAGGAGCCAACTTGTCGTAAAGGTTTACACGCTCATGAAGATCTTTGAACGGATTTTTAGTACTAAAGAAATCGAGGTCGATGTCCAAGATATACGGAGTATCTTTTTCAGGAAGATATTGGCGCAATGCTGAGCTGACGGCTGTAAAGTCATCTTTCTGCAACATAAATATCAAACAATCCGTATTACAGTACATGCCACCGTTTATGTATATACTTTTAGATAACATTTCAATATCTTAAATATTTTTTAATATTATATGATTTTCATGGGTTAATTTTTTGATATTATCGAATGTTCTTCCCAACTTTCCTTTAATTTACAAAACTTTTATATATAAAACACTTTACGCGTAACAAGAGTAAATTGCTCGTGCAGTTTTACAAATCTTTGATATTTTTTGTATTTTTCATCACTAATAGTCGTACTATTTTGGCCATTTGTCACTGAAAGCGAGGTTATTCACTAGAAGCTATCGCGTGATGAAACGCGAGCATTCAGTTCTGCGAATTAGCGACGCTATATTACTCAATCCTTTTTTTGACGCTGTTCGCTGAGCGCTGACATCACTGGCGAAACGTTGACGATAATTACCAATAAAATGATCGATTGCCGATGTTATATCGACGACCCACGGCGGGTTCAATTTTCGAACGGGATTTCACCACCATAGGAACACAGGGGCGGTCGACGCGGCGAGGAGAAATCGGCGACGTGCGCAACCGTTCGTATGAACCGGATATTGTTCGTAGCGGGGCAAAACGATGCCGCCCGCGTATAGAGGGTTTTTTGTGACGCGCAAAAAACAATGACTGCACTCGAATTAATTCTGTTAGAATTGATACTCGGGCCCGGCACTGGGATCGCAATTTGCATGCGTTCACAACAATGAAATACAACGGCGCGCGCGGGGTGAGCTGCAATACTATCGCGAGGAGAAGAGGAAAAAAGGGGGAAGAAATGGGAGGAGGGGATAAACCAACAATCAGACTGAGCAGGGGCTCTCAAAGTTTGTAATGCGTTCAACGCGTCGATAATCTTCGAAAGAAAGTTTAGCAACCGAATTGCGTGAAAAAAATGCTTTAACTGTAAAAAGAGATAGTAAAAGATATAAGACATTACCGAAAACAAATCTTTACACAGAGATAAAATTATTATCTTTTGATGATATGTTTAGCATGTATATAGAATTGTAAATTTTTAAATCTTTTTTTCAACTTTATACATGATATTTCCTATTCTGTTATATTCTTTTTACCAACATTTTAATCAATAATTTAAAAACGGACAGTGATTTGAAAACTATTGAAATGATCTATTTTTTAATAAATTATAAAATGTTCAAAATGCTAGACAATTTTAATAGACATTAGAAAGGATATTCTATCGTATTTTTGGTACATTTTTCGGGACCGAGAATCTATCGTACTATCAATATTTTGTCAACATACAGTTAAAAATATTTTGTCGTTAAATATTATGGATGTGCGCTTGAATTAAAAATAATACAGCTTGAATACAGCTGCGGAATTTTCTGAAGCTAAGCGATTAATTTTTTGTGCTCCCGATCTGCCACGTCGACTGATAAGAGTGCTTGTTTTGCGCAACCTTCGCATCGCGCTCTGCAGATGTTCATCGGTCTTGTGTCTGATTTAACGATCTCTGAACCAGACTGCTGGCGAATCCAGTTGATGTCAACAAAAACAATGTTTGTAAATGTGTTTTTGATTAAAATTTTTTACAAAGAAATATCTTTTTCCTAACGCGAGCGTGAAATGGGCCGCTTTTCGCGCTTGTTTTGAGTGAGCAAAACGATCCATTTCGCAATGATGACGTAAGTGTTGAAACATGGAGCCATTTCTCAACTAGTGGAGAAATGAAATTGTAAAACAAGCGCGAAAAGCGGCCTGTTTCACGCTCTTGTTAGGAAAAATAGTATGAACAACTCGTGGGAAGAGATGGTCGAGCCCAAATGAGTGTGATGGTCGCACTCATTCAGAATCGACCACTTTTTCCACTAGTTGTACAATATACTATTTCGTGCTTTTTCCTTCGATGAGCCCACCGAATTTGTATTCATTGCGTACAATTATTTTATTATACATTACATTAATTTTTTATCGTTCTCATAAAAAAATATAATAATCATAATACTTGTGCAAATGTCACGATGTTGGATCGAATGTCACAAGTGGATGGTCCGCTAAACACATAACTGCAGAAAAGTTATTTGCAATTTATGTTTGAACAATATTTTAATTGTATTCTTATCTCGCGAATTTGTACGAGCGATAAGCAAGGCCGACAAAAATATGCGAGATGCATATACACAAAGACATGTATTATTTCAGTCGAACAATCTTCAAAAGAATCGAGTAATTCTTTTTCCGAATTGTCTTATGCATTACGTTGAAGTGCAAAGAAGGAAAGGCTGCAGGCATATACGACGGCAATAATAATTATCAAAGGAATTTCCCTGTGTCATATTGTTTTCAAGTAATCTCTGATTATAGTTTTTCCTCCTTACTTGACTAAATGCCTCGCAGGTGTGCATTAACATTTAAAATTTTCTTCGTATAAGTTCTCCATTACGTGATATGCACGACACGCGAACAAATTGCACATGTGCGTTAAGAACTTTCCACTCGATACAGTGATTAATATTTTCAAACAAAACGTCATTATGCTATACATATATATTTCATTCGCGATAATACACTGAGAAAAAAAATTGTTAATCCCAAGAAATATTTAGTTCGATACGTTCAACTAAACATTTTAGTTAGTTAACTAAATATTAGTTGTTTCAACAATTTATTTCGTTTCTTTAATCAAGAATTAATTAATTCAACTAATGTTTAGTTAACTAACTAAAATGTTTAGTTGAACGTATCGGACTAAATATTTCTTGGGATTGACAAATTTTTTTTCTCAGTGTAGCTGTAAGTATTTAATGCGGTTATATAATTTATCGCGTAAGTATTTTCTTTATCGATTGTTACTTTTTTTATAAACACACATCTTCAGATTTAAATTCCAATACACGCTGTTACATAAAATTACATGAACAACAAGAGTAAAATTCACGATTTATATAATAAAAATGCATACATAATAAATCACATAATTTTTATACTTATTGTTCATGTGATCTGACACACTTTATTTATAGCGCATGACAGCGTGTTAATTTGTTTTTGTCAGTTATTGTGGCGTATCTTTTATTATTATCATGCAGGAAAGAATATTAACAATTGCTGATTGCAATATAGGAAAACGCTCAAAGAGGAATGTCATTGCCGGCTAAATTTAAATCGTTCGAGGGCGATAGTCGGACATTGCACCCGGCGTAAGTGCAATAACACAATAATCCGTCGACTTCGATTTCGGCAGATATTTTCGTCCATGCATCAAAGTTAGAATATGATCGCAATAACGTCACTTTCACACATATGAATCACACAATAAGATACGCAAGTACAAGATTCACAAATATTCGCGGTTTTATGTGTAATAATTTCGTATATTCACATTAATATTCATAATATTAAAATGAACAAAGCACTCAAAGAAATTCACTAATTCTCAATGTTAAATAAAATAATAATTATTTGTATCAATATTTTAACATTGATTGTGAGACAAATTTTTAATCTTTTTTGTGATTTGTATTCAAATGATTCATACGTTAATTGTATTTTCTGAGGTATCCAGAACTTTTCAAATCTTTAATATTTGGAATTGCCTCATAGAATTTATATAAAACTCCATCCTCTTTATTCCATTATTTCGTCTTTTACTTCTTGATTCTCAGAGTTTACAAATTATTTTTTAAACATACGTTTGAAAAATTTCTGCAGCTTCTTTCTAACAAACTCAAATAAGCGCATTTCGAAAAGCAATTAGACGTGGGATCTGCAATCTGCATACACGCAAATGAATATGCCTGAATAACGCCAAACGAGCCTCACGTCGAACACGTGGCCGCTCGCAAGAGGCCTACGTTTCTATATGTGTGCTTACTATGCGGCAGATCGTCGGTCATAATCGCCGTCGCGGCTGCAGTTAAAGCGAGCAGTGCCATATGCAAATGGTTGCATTGTCTTGACCTAAAGTGGCGTGATCTCCGTCGGTTTATTGTGCTTTCACTGGCAGCTATGAAAGAGCACAGCCTCGCAAAAATCTCAGCTCGCTCATTTGCACCGGCTGTATAATATACACGCCCTGCCACGAAAACGCGAACGATTTTTCATTAAAGTTGAACGAGTTTTTTTTTTGTTCCAGGAAAGGGTAATTATATCGAATAAATCAAGAGTTTGCGCAGATTATAAATTGGACTCGAAAGGATCGTAAAAATGCTGTAAACTGCGATTAATTAGTTCGATTTCTTGGAAAGAATAAAATATAAAAGTAAACGTTACCCCGCTATTCTGTATATATATCAACCATGTACGAGTCTTGTTCTAATTTTTATTATTCTTATTCCTTTTCTTAGATTAAGTTGTATTTTCATAGACTTTTTCTATTGTACTATTATTCGCAGAAACTATGTATATGGGATTATATGATATGTAGATGTTATACGAGAGTACTGCAATATAGTAAGCGTTCGGGTCTGTTATAGGTTTGCTATAGCTTAAAGGATTAGTCATTCTTACCGCGGAAACTAATCCGATATTACGGTATTCTCCGACGTTGATATCTATTTAAGGAGGTTCGCCTATTAGTCGTAAGTCTTAGAGTCTCAACTTAGAGTCTTAATTTTTTTATATAATTTACATAAACACTTTACACAAATAATCCCAAAAGTTGAGCAATATTGACCGTATAGTTTCTTTGTAATATTATTCAGAAGTTGACCACTTTGAGCCTATCGCCTCATGAAAAACGGTCGCTCTGAGGTAAATGATCATTAATTTAGTACGCACTTAGCCAACTTAGGACTTTGAAAAACTAGCATTTGACAAATAAAACATCAAGGATTGCATAAAAACTTTAAAAATAGTATTTTACTGTGTAGATTTAAAGCTTTATTGTTGCAAAGTTTACTTTTACCTCGTGGATCGAATTAGTAATGACAGACGTTACCATTGGCAACGCAACAGTTGATGCAAACTCAACCTCACAAACAGTGTTTAGCCACTAATCATGAATCCA